ATCGGGTGCAGACGCTCACTGGAGAGACAAAGAGTGAGAAAGTAAGAAATCACCTCTTGGGGGGACGGCCACTCTGCAATCCCTTTCCCTCTATTTTCCTCTCTGTATTTTGAGTATGTATGCTCACACCTGACATGAATTTCAAGCTTTGGGGTCCAGGACTCAAACCATGGTTTGTTATTTGAGAGTCCAGTGCTTTAACCACCATACTACCTGCTGGCCCCAATCCCATTATTTTATAGCAAATCAGAAGTAAAATTACCATCTCTCCATATATCTGTGTGTCTTTCTCTACCTCTATTTCTCTCTCCTTTACTGTTTCTCTTGTCCACATCTACCTACACACACGTTCACTAACACACATACACCCAAGCTTATGCAAACACACATACAATTAGACTTGAAAAATAAAGAAGTAGTGGAATGCCATTACATATCTTGTATGTATGTATATATATGTGTGTGTGTGTGTTGTACATTATGTCATTTTAAAAGCTTATTGAGAAAAAAATTTGTTACATGAATTTGTTTTTGCCAGTTCCCTGAATTTTTGTGTTATGCTTTGTTTTGTTTTTAGATTAAATTAAGAAAAATTTTGTTTCTTTAAATTTGTTAGCAGTTAAGAATCCTAGGAATATTAGACAAAAAGAAAACTTTATTCTAATGACTAGGTGTCAAATAGAAGAAAATCCCACCAAAATCATAATTAAAATGACATCTTTAAATATTGGCACAACTACAATGATATTTTTCTTCTTCTAAGTAAGAGTTTGATTCTGGAAGACAATCAGATATCTCATATATTGTTGTTACTTAAAGTAATTCTGTTAGTGATTTCTCAATTATTGACAGCATTGTGTCAAAGTAAACCAATATATAATCTCAATAAATCCTTATTTGAAAACGTGAATGCTACTTTAAGAAGTAAAATTTTGTTTGTGATACTTTCTCAGAATCCCTGTGTCATAATACAGGTGATCCAAGAATAATTTCTATTTGTGAGATTAAAATAAATGATGAAAAGAGAGAGAGCATTTGAGAGGAAAAGCCTGTCACATAAACAGAGATGAGAAGATTTATAAAAACTGGATTCTAGAGTTCTGCCAATTTCTAGTGCTTGTACATCTGTATGATATTAACCTGATAATTCAAAAACCAACTGACTGAATTGTTAATTTGTTATAATTAGTTTTATTGCTTCATTAACTAGGATGCGACAACTCAATTTGCAATTGTATGATTTATTATCAATAACAGAAAATGTACAATTGAACCATAATGATCATCAAGATACCTTTTAAATATTTATATTTCTTTGTAAAGTTAAAAGTTAAAAATATGTGTGGGGCCAGCAGATGTGATTGGGTGCTGGACTCCCACATGGTAGACTGCTGCTTGAGTCCCCAACCTAGTGGCTTGAAACTCACACCAACTATGTGTACATGTGTTCCCAAAATCCTGAGAGAAAAATAGAGGAGAACGGATTATGGTATGGTCATCCCCCATGCAGGGTGATTTCTCACTTTCTGTTTCTCTTTCTCTGTCTCTCCAGCAAGCACACTTGCCCTATAGCAAAAATCTTTCAAAAAAAAAAAAAATGTACAGTAGTTAGTTTAGTGGCAAGTTCCTAAGCTTAAATTAGAGTTGAAACCATTAAACTAAACTAGATTATTTCATTAGACTTGAAAGTATTAAAAGCAGTAATTTAAAACAATGGTTCCAAAGAAGGCACTGGTAAAGACTTTGCTGAGCATTACATGCTCCCTAGAGTTCTTCAGACACAGTGGTTTCATCTGCTGTGCTCGCTTCCCACTCTGTATTTCCCACGAAAGTGTAGTAACTTTCTGTTTCATGAGCTATCTTCCTGACCTAGATCTCAGCACCTCAATCCCACACGTTCCCAAAACTCAGAAAGTGCTGTAGATTGTGTATCTAATGAACAAATGATTAGTGAAGCATACTTGATGCTAATTTTGCAATCTTCATTTAGATTTTTAAATTATATAAATATTGCTTCCACATTTTTTCTTGTTTTATATAACTTTCTTCTTTGGGAAGCACCAATGAATATATCCAAACTCAATTTTGGAGACATAATGTATCTCATCATTTACTTAATTAATTCTACCACCAATACATTGATTTTAGGTAAAGAATGGAGGCCTGTGATGATCTAAAACTACTTTAAGACTCATTTACTTAGTATGAAAGTTTTTCAGTTTTCTTCATTTTTCTGTAGTACTATGTGTATCTTTGAACAAATCTCTAAGTAGTTGTCCTAAATTTATACCTGTAATGTGATTAAATCATAACATCACCTAAAATGGAGAGAACGGGATGTGATATACTGAAATAACTCAAAGATATATTAATTTAGACTATAAATCAAATAAAATGAATATGACGAGATCATGAATTTGTATTTTCTCTACTATTTTCAGTCCAGAATAGAAGATAGTCCTTTATAAAATCACCATAATATTCATGAATTAGCAAAGATAGCATTTCAGTTTTACAAGAGGAAAAAGTTCTGAAGATTAATTTTACAACAATATGAATATGCTTAACATTACTGAATCATACACTTGAAAGAGTTAAATAAGTTTAGTTTTGTTACATGTATCTTACCAAAATAAAAAAGTAATAATAAAATCTGCAATAAGAAAACTGAGAGGATGGGAACCAGCAGTTAGCATAATGGCTATGTCGCTGGACTCCCACGTAGTCGACCACGGTTCACGTCCCGGACCCGGTGGCTTAAAACTCACGCCGGGCGTGTGTACATGCGTGCCCAAGATCCCGAGAGGAGAATGAAGGAGAAGGGATTGCGGCGTGACCATCCCCCCTGGGGGGGTGATTTCTCGCTTTCTGTCTCTATGTCTTTGTCTGTCTGGCGAGCGCACGCGCCTTATAGTGAAAACCTCTCAAAAAAAAAAAAAAAAAAAAGAAAACTGAGAGGATACTTTGAACTCATACCCTCAAATATGAAGCAAAGAATTAAGAAATTGAAGGTGACATTTTTAAAGGAGACAAAAAAATTCAGCATTTTTGCTAACAGTGGTTAAAAACAATCAAAGAAGCAAACAAAAAAATTGAAGGAACTTTTAAATTTCCTGCCAGATGGAGTGTTTTTGTTTTATTATTCATTTATTTTTGATTTCCTTATTCTGGGTTCATGAATGACTATGACCATTTGGTCCACACATGGCTCATTTTGATGTATCTAATTGCTAACTTACATTACTTGTTTTTAATTATGTATTAGACACCTGAAAACATACCATCCAGAACAAAAGCTAGGATCTGGTGAATAGCCTATTTCTTACCGGCACCTCATCCTTTTTTTCCTCCTTTCTTGGGTTACCATTTTTCTAAACCCATCTGTATTTGTACCTGCAATGTGTCTGTTGTATTTTCATTGTTTTAAACTTTATTCAAAAGGACTACGCTGTTTGTAATTTTAAGAGATGCTCTTTTATTTATCTACTAAAGAATTTTGCTAGTTTCCATTCATATTGCTTTTGATTGCTATAGTTTATTGACTATTGGCTACTATTTAAAATGATTAAGAAAAAGGAGTACTAAAATGACTTATACCAGTTCTGAATAGACAACATTTTTAGAACGTTATCCACATCAAGTGTAGCTTATAACTCAAGACTGCTGCTAGTTCAACAACCTGCCTAGAGATGCATTTCGGATTGTAATTTATGAGATGTTAAAATGTTCTTTAAATGAACAAAATTTCTTCATTTTAAAAATCTCAATAATTTCATTTTTTTGTCTGTTTTGAGAATTTTCAGTGCTACTCTCCATTCTTCTTTATTTCAGAGACACAAAACCCTACAATTTTCCTAGGAAGATAAAATCCTGTAAACTTCAGTGACTTCTAAATCCTTTGTTAATTCCAGGCTTAACAAGTCCCTTTCAGTGTATTCCCTCAGGATATTTTCTTTTTTCCTCAGCCATTAAAACATTTTCTACTAACAGTGGTGAGAATCATAATAAAAGTCTGTCAGGAACTCCTGACATACATTATAAACAACTCAAAACTTGCTTTTCTGGTTTCTTCTTGTTTATAGCCTTACAGAAAGCATTTCTTTCTGTAAAGGAATGGAATGACATAACTGAACCTTTTTTGCAAAAGCATCCTGATGGAATTCTGAAAATTTGTTTAAAAAAAATCTTTCTGATAAGTACAAAACTATTAAGGATAGCTTAACGCTATCAATCAAGGAGTTTGGTGTTTGGAGCCTTCACCATTTGCCCAGTGAGATTTGTTAGGTAGTGGTTGAGATCCCTCATTTAGGACACAGATAGACTTTGAGTAATGGTGATTGTATGATATGCCAGTTCCATAGTACTTTGTATATTATTTAATAGCTGTATGACTAAATTTCTGGACCCGAAAATGGCAAGAATAAGTACAGTCATCTCATAGAGTCATGGTTAAATTTAAATAAGATAATGCATATAAAATATTTAACTAAGTGACAGATGTGACTCAGTTTTATGCATGTTAAATATTATGAACGAATGCATTCTGGTCCTTGGCTTGGGGTGATAACGGAAGCTTGTATGTGACAACTGTTTCCAATACTTCATCACACATGGTTATAATGTACCACCGCCTCTGAGCGTACGGAAAAATTGGGTAAATGCAGGTTTTTATATAGGCAAATGCTAACCCAAAGTTCTATAAGAACATATTGCTGTGAACTTAAGTAATCTATTATTAAAATTAATCAATTACTGCATACATTAAAAGAGAAACAATAAAAAAAACTAACAGATAAAAATAGATGGTCCTAGATAGTTTTCTCTTACAAATTTGTCAGTGTGGCTTTAGAAAATATTTGAATCCTCAGATTTTCGCATTAACTCTAACCACATACTTAATATCCATTCTTCAATGCCACACATTCACTTCTTAGTCAGAATTGTAGGATTTAGAGTGCTTTAGATATTCTGATCCTAATATACCTTGAAATGTTTTGCAGATTTATTGGCCTGCTGCAAAGGAACGGGTGGAATTATGTAAACTAGCTGGGAAAGATGCCAATGTAAGTATGAAACTTTAAGAATTATCTTTGTTAATGAGTATTGATATGACAGTAAATATTTATATTGGCTTTTACTGTATTAATGGCATTTTCATGTTACGTTTAAGACTAAAGTAACATGCTCTCTGCAAATATTACCACGGTATAACATATTTCTACCTTACCAAAGCAATATTATTCACAAAAATTCATAAGTGTAGCAATACTACACTTTTTTTTAAAGAGACTTTTTGCTTTAGGGCGTGTGTGCTCGCCAGACAGAGAGAGAGAGAGAGACAGAGAGACAGAAAGTGAAAAATCAGCCACCAGGGGGAATGGCCATGCCACAGTCCCTTCTTTTCCATTCTTCTCTAGAGAACTAGGGCACACATGTGCCCAGCATGAGTTTAAGCCACCTTGTCCAAGACTTGAACCACTGTCGACTACATTAGAGTCCAGCACTGTAATCATTATGCCATCTGCTGGTCCTGTAATACTATACTTTCTAAAGTATTGATTTTGAGAATATTTTTTACATCATGAAAAGATAAGAGCCACATTAAAATAATTTAAAATAAACCATCAGAAAATATATTTCTAGGAATGTATATTTTTCATTTATGTAAATTTACTTCTTAGAGTACATCAAACCATTGACTATTTTAGCAGCACAAATAATTGTATTTCATTTTATTTTAGTGAATTTTAGACTTTAAACATCTAGAAGAATTCTTCCATTTGGTGATATTATAACAATTACAAGAAAAAATTGGTTGCAAATGAATGACAGCATTTTGGCACAAGAACTAGAAATCCTTTATTTAATAACAATTATATGAAATGATTCATAAAAGAAAAATAAGGGGTCCTAATAAAAATTTCTAGTGTAAGTTACCTACAGGATGAGAAAATGCCCTTAGTCAGGCATGACTAAATGATTCATCTTTCGTCCGTTTCTGTATGGATTGCTTTCACATCATCGTCAAATGGTCCTGCATGCTCGCCCCGTGTTACCTGGTGTTTTTTCCTAGTAGTGAGTGAAGAGTGCTGAGGTTCTCCTTGTCATTCTTCTCATCCCAGTGCTCTGATTCCAGTCAGATGCTCTGCATCCTACCCTGACTTCCTGCATGTGATGATGAGGGGAATTGCTCTTTTTGACAAAGTAAATCCCATCCTGAATGTAACTCAACCTTGGACAGGCACATGTACATCTTGAATCTTCTTTGCAACATCCTCTAATATTATCTCTAGCCACTGTAAAACACAGGTATTAACCTCAACAATGGCTTTCTATTTAATGATAATAAATAATGTGGTTATATGAAAGTATAGTTACATCAAAATAATTCCCTATCAATGTGATACAAGATAAACAATATGACACATCATGTCCAATGGATTGAGAGGTTCTTGGAAGATAGAACTCTGAGACAACAGGTTAATTTAGTCCTTTGCCCATACATTAATTTAACAAATAATTTTAGAGCACCTAAACATGTGCATAAATATACACAGCAAACATACAGTATCTTCTCTCCTTGTGGGTCTTTCATTCTAGTGGAATGTACAGATATTACTCAAACAATTACTTATACATAGTCATAGCAGTACTGCAAAGCAAAATCATCACAACAAAATTTTTAAAAAACTTGTGATTATACCTGATTTTGCATTCGGTTAGTATTAAACATGATCCTTTTAGGAGTACTTATGTAAGTAGAATTATATCAAGGAGTGTTAGTGTTCAATACCATGGGAAACAGATTTTACATTTATTTTATTAGAAATAAAAGAGATGAAGTCATTATAAAATATATTTTTCTTCTTTCTGTGGCTCTACTGTCTTCATCCTGTTTGATACCTTAGCACTGAGCAGGTGTCCAGGTCTGCAAAAACATCAATACTTCAATAAATTCATGAGTTAAAAAATGTTTTGGTTATGACTTTTCAAAATCATTTTGTTGAATGAACAGTAGAAACCTGCCCTAAGCAATTTGAAAATTTTTTATATTGTGTGTTTCACAAGTATTGAGTGTATAAAGAGACAAGTAGGTAAAGGAAGTTCTCCATTTATCCCAATAAACTAATGTCAGTTTTCCCAACAAGTAGAGGAGCGGTAAAAATTCAAGGTCAAAGGATCAGCGAAGGTTTAAATTGTGACAGTGTTCTCACTTCAGTATGTTCACTAATTCCAGTTACATAGTAACTTAATTGTCCTTCTAATTAAGTTAAAGCAAAGGGTAATAAACTTTTCTGGGGGTGTGTCCTTGAGCATGTAGGCCTTTGTATATAGAACATATTCTTCCAATTCATTCTATTTGTGAGCTAGTGGTCATCTCTAACCTTAAAGCACATGTAACAAGATTAGACATTTGGGGAGCTTTTCTATATTTTATTAATGTCTGATGTTGAATTCTGTAGGGATAATACAAGTCTTTGTTTTTTCATTTTTTAAAAATTTGTCTCTTGAAAATAATGTCCTATTTTGGAGTTACCAATAATAGTTAACACATTCATAGCAATTGCCATGGTCATGGAATTGCTTTCATGCCTTCACATCTATAATTTGATTTAACACTTACAGTAACTGTGTATGTTAGAGTTTATCATTAGTCTCTATTTTCAAGATGAGAAAATTAAAGCCAGAAAAATCAAATGACTTGCCAATATCATGTATGATAAATAGTGAGGCCAGGAACTGAATTCAGAAGTCCCATAGTCTATGCTCTTACATAACTATAAAATTTACATAAAGATCTAAAAATCATATCTTTGAAATCATTTCTTTCTTCAATAGCACCATAAGTTAGATCCTCATTTTGAACAGCGTTGCATGGAGTTTGGCCAACAGAAAACTGAGACAAGTCTGTGGTTTTATTGACATCTTTTATTACCTTTGGCATTACCCACTCTCCTCTCTAGTAATTTTTACCTACTTCCCAAGAGTGTGTTTAGGATTAACAAGTGTTTAGAAAGACTGTCCCTTTACACAAAAGTACTATATAACTACAAAATAGTGAATTATTTACCATAATGAAAGTTGCCTAATTGAGGCGAGGAGGCAGAGGAAGGTGAGGAAACAAAAGGCAACTATCCTACATCCTTAACACATTCCATAGTTTAATCCAAAGAAGGGAAGAGGTGATGGTAAAATACTTGGTAGTACTTTGTTTCTGTGTAGAATGTTATTGCAAATAAAGTCACTAAAGAAATGTCATTAATCCTGACTGTAAAGCATGGGTTAAACAGCTCAGCCCTGGCAAAAGCAAGCAGAGGGAGGGCACCCTGAGCTTGATTTACCACCTTAGCTGTGGGGATGGATGCTCATCCAGTCAGTAGAGTCAGACATGGAATTAAAAGATCATACAGCTCTAAAGTTGAATGATTATGCATATATATATATATATATATATGATTATGCATAATATATATATACATACCATTAAAGAAAGTTTTAAAATAAAACAGTGTGTACAGAGAAAGTTTGCAAATTATATACAAGAAAGAGAGGTCATTGGTTAATAAATAAATAACCTCCTCTCCCATGAACACTACCCAGAGGTAGCTGGTGTCAATCTGATGTTTATTCTTTACCTTATCTATTTATTATTTTTCAGAATAAAATCATTGTATACATATTCCTTTAACACATTTTTTTCCACTCCACAGACTCCCATGAGCATTTTCCCATGTTATTAAATTCCTTTTTATAGCACTACTTTTAATAGCATTATTACATTCCTTGATACATTATTTCATCAATCTCCTGTTGTTAGAAGCCGGGTACATACCAGTTTTTACTATTACAGATGATCTTACACATGAAAAACCTTATGTACTAGTATTGAGAACATCTTTGATTATTTGAGGAGACATTTACTAGTTAAGAGCATACATTTTTTTTTCCTATATAAGAAAAACAACGACAGGAGGGAGAAGAGAGAGGCACCGGCATTTTTAATAGGGTCTTGCAAGTGTCACTACCCTCCTGCCGCAGTCTTCCAATTAATGGGAATTACAGGCAAGCACACTACAGTCTATGTGTTCATTTAGCCCAGACATAGAACCAGACCTCACACGTGTCTTCCAGCTTCCCAAGAAGTGGTGCTATTTGTGTGCCACCATGGCTACACCTGGACATAAAGTTTTCCATCATGTATTGCTAAATTGCCCTCTAAAAAAAATGTATCTTTCATGTGCTCTAACAAGCAATTCATGATCATGAGAGGAAATATCCTCTATATGTTTGCTAATACGGATATACCATAGATAATGGTTAATACAAATGCACCTTAGTAAATACAATAACATATTTTTTCTTTTCCAACAAAAAGAAAAATTATTTTTGTGGGACCAGCAGATGGTGTAACGGTTATGTCGCTGGACTCCCACATAGTCGACTGTGGTTTGAGTCCTGTACTGGATGGCTTAAACTCACACCAGGCATATGTGCTTGTGTGCCCAAGATCCCAAGAGGAGAAGGGATTGTGGCATGCCCAATCCCCCCTAGTGGGCGATATCTCGCTTTCTGTCTCTGTCTGTCTCTGTTTTTTTTGTGAGCATATGTGCCCTATAGCAAAAACTACTCTTAGAAAAAGAATTATTTTTGCTTTTTGAGCTGGAAATTATTTTCTTACTCCGAATATAAAAGTTGTAAAATAAGGAATTTTTAATGGCATATCCATACAGTTTATTTATTTTTTATAGTTAATACTTATCTTTTCCTTACAAATTATTTATAGATTGATAAAATCTATATATGTAAACATGAAAACATATATGTATTCATATATACATTTATTACTTTGTATTCTACCCATAGAAAAATACTCCTTATTGGTTACTTTATATATAGTATAGACTTAAATTTTTAAAGAGACATAGCTCTCAGCCTTTTCACATTTATATGTTTGCCTTTGCCCTTTAGCACAACTGATTATTGCTTTGTAGATATCTCCATTGTTAAATCTTCCATTTCTTTAACTGAGCAATGTAATATTTGAATTTATATAAGTTTATTTCAAAGTGTGGAAAATTTATTTAAATATTTTAAGCATTCTGAAACTTAAATAGATAACTCTGCACACTGGATTCTCCCTGAGAACTCCGAGGCAACATTTAATTTAGCTCAGTGACAGGCATCTGGTGGGTACTCAAAAAATGCTCAATGAGCACTGTTTTCTGAAAAATACACTAAAAACTAAAAACAGGTCAGGTTCCAAAGTTATGGATGTCTTGATATACTTAATTTGAATACATTTAAGCTAGCAATTATAGGATAGTTATCATAATTACATATAAAGCTGTATTGGATTGAATTAGTCCAAATGTAAATCTTGAGAACTATACATTTTTGTGGTTTGCTAATATCTTTCCAGGTATCTAGGGAGAAATTTGTCTTCTCCAAATACCAATTCAGCTTTATCATTTTTATTTATTAATTATTTATGCACATATAAATGTAGACAAGATAAAATATTGAAACATCTAATATTATTGGAAAAAAATTATGCATGTGTTTGGTTGGCTCCTTTTCCATCCCTCTACCTTTATCTCTCCATTTTTTTTATTGTCTTCAAATGGGACAAGATTGGGGTGGGTGAAAAGGGATAAAAGCAGAAAGGAGAAACTCAATACTTTCCTGAAGTTGAATATATTACTTGCTGATTGTTTGGTCACATGCAATGATTGCCATTGTGGACAATAGTTGACACATTAGCCAGCTTTCAGGGAAAGTCGAAAGAGATGCTTCTCATAGTTATTGTTCTTCATGCCTCACAGAATTACACTACCAATTAATAGCCATGCAAGTTGCTGAGTGAATTAAATCAAGTTAATTATTAATCATGTTTCTATAAACTCTATAAATTTTGTAAAAGTCTGAAATGTTTCGCATAAGAAGAAAACCACATAGACTGAAAATGAAAAAATAAGTTAAAAATTAGAATTCATATAAACTTTTTGCAGGAAGACATGCTTGGTCAAACTGTCTCCCTCAGGGAAAATTTAATGTAAGAGATCTTATCTTTTATGAACTCTATTCAGGAGTTTCTTTCTCTCAGGTGCCTTTCCATTGCCTCTAGGCAGTTCAGAAAAGTGCCTTCCATCAGTTCTCTATGGGAAATTTGAAATAGAGCTGAGTTTTTTGCAAGCTGTCAAATATTCTTGACTCACCCAGACTTGTCCTTTCCACATCAGCCCAATCAGAGAAAAGGGCGGAATTTTATAAATTAACCCTAGGTAATGTCTCACTGAATTAGGGAACTACAATAACAGTTTACTTTCCAGGGCTAGCTACATTTTAGTAAAGTACTCCTCAAGGATGTGAAATGTTTGGGGTGTGAGTTTTAAAATAGAGTCATTACTATAATCCCTCCCCAGAAGTGTATAAAACTTCACCTGGGACCTTATGTACTTTAAACAACACTGTGTCTCACATATCTCTAATCATTCTGCCTCTATAATTTATAATATGGAAAGGAAATTGTTTTATTTCTTACAGTTTCTTTGTGGAATATTGCAAAATTTCAATTTAAATTTCGTGACTGTTCGGTAAAACTGGGCTTTTTCAAACAATGATGAAATAACTGGCAGTGAGTCAGTCCTCACTCACTCTGGCTATGAGTTGCTCTTGCCCTCCCTGTGTTCTATTCCTTGTGTGGATCTCATCTTTACATGAGTTTCCTCATGGAGGAAAGACCAAGAAATACAATTCTCTTCAGTGAGTATGAGTGGGCAAAATGAAGGCTGGGTCATTAACACTGACCTACTGAGCACACTTTTATGTTTTTTTGCCTTAGCTTTTCTGGCACTAGTTGTCTCCATCTGTTTTTTTCTTAATATAATATTAGGGTGGCATATTTACTCTCTGAAATAGGCTTTCATTTGAGATTTCCTAACAGGACATTAAAGAATGATGGCATTGTACAAATAGAAGATAAAAAGACACAAATGAAAAGGTGGAAAACTGACATAATATGGTTTCATTAAACTACTGATAGATGATCTATCAGAAAGCTATCTTAATTAATATAAAATTTTTCTTTCTTAAGAGTTTTTAGTCCCAACCTCAGTGATTCAGTCAGTAGCATGCTGAAAAGTGGTACTGGCAACTACCTGACTGACCTTAGGTTCAGATCCCTGGCCTGGTTGACCTAAAACATTCTGAGTTCCCACGTGACCAAGAACCTGATGAGCTGGAGTGTTGGGAAAAGGGAATGAAACTCTGTGAAGAGTGCTTCTCTCTCTTGCGTGCTCACTCTTTATCATGAATAAAAAAACTTTTAAAAAGTGCCTTCATATAGTACACATATGTAAACATATACTAAACATGAAAATATTCAAGATAAAATATATGTTTACAGTGGGATTTGCATCTCACTAGATATGTTGCTCCTTTGCAGCATACAACCTAAGCAACTCTATGGCATACTTTGGTAGTACACAACCTATGTAACTTAATATACTCAGGACTGTGCTGCTGTCAAAGAGGGCTGAGTCTTCCTACATGGAAAGAAAACATGTGTGGCTACCTGAGAGGCCAATACTGGCATATCATACAGTCTTAAATAAATATTTTATTTATTAAAAAATAAAAAAAACAGAAAAGTTAAGTCAATAAGTTCAATGTTGCATTATTTTATGACAGAATATTCAGATTTTGTTAACTGGGATCTACAAATCCTTGAGATGTAATATTACCAGCTAGTTGGGTGAAAGAACTAGGAATTAGGAATTCTGGAGCACAGCTTTCACATATAGCTATTCACTGTAAAAAAAAAAAAAATCAGCCACTAGGATATTGATATTGTGTGTAAGTAGAAATCAGTGAGGAATAAATAATCATTAAATATTTATTTCATGTGCATAATAATAACAATACTATGAGTTACATCATGTTTCTTCCTTTAAAAATATTTTTTTTAATTCTAAGAACCCCCCTCACTAATTAGGTCATCATTTGTTTTTTATTTTTTTTAATTATTTTAATATATTTCTCTCAACAATGAACAACAACAGTAACTATGATTTCAATGCCTGACTGGTGAGACTCCCATGGCCACTCAGGCAGGGAGAAATTGGACCCAGTGATTTCATAGGTTTCCAACCTCCTTAGTAAACACTTGCCTGTCTCCTGCATGGTGTCAATCAAGAATAAAAAAGTGTGCTGCAGCTTAGAGTTTTCTTAGGGGTCTTGGGGCCAGAAATCATGAAGTTATGGTTAAGAATCTATTTCCCTCAATTATGTAAAGGTAGTGAATCATTACCAAAGGTAAATTAAACATAATATAAAGTAACGGGATACTCTGAAAAAATAAACAGGGAATAGAAAAATAATTCATCTCTAAAGATAATGAGCATGTAAAGAAATATTATTAGGCATAAATATATGCAAAGCAAGAAAAAGCATAAACATCTCTGTAACAATTTGACTCGGTGTGAAACAATTTCCATGGGGAAAGCAGAAGAGACTCAGAATCAGCAGTACATAATCTGGTTCTTGAAGGCTCTGTGCTAGTTAAAAGTTAATGGAAATAGAGGTAGGGCGTTCTGGTTAGGAAGGATGGAATTCACGCATAGGGATACACTGTTGGATTCAGTGTTTTGTTTAGTGTAACTGGGACAGATGACGTTGCAAACAGTAGGAGCTATGTGAATAGATTACATGGTAAAACTAGAGCATGACAGCCTTTGTTTTCTATGTCCTTGAAAGAAAGCACGAATGTCTCATTCGGATCTGTTCATGTCTATTCTCTAGTCTTCATTGCATACCGTTCTAGACTTGCATTCCTACTGATAGTTCAAAAGCTTTGTACCTTCAAAATGCTTAAAAGCCACTTCATATAAGCCATAGTTTCCATTTTTCTTGCCTATTAAGCTTAAAAGTCACTTCTTTAAGCCATAGTTTCCATTTTTCTTGCCTATTTTTTTTAAAAAATTCACTCTTATTTTTTATGATTAATCTACTTGGAAAACAAGTGGTATGAATGATAATGTTTCAAACACCTGAATTGTGTCCTAATGGTTTTAATTTTTATTCCAAATAGACAGAATGTGCAAATTTCATCCGAGTACTTCAACCCTATAACAAAACTCACATTTATGTGTGTGGAACTGGAGCATTTCATCCAATATGTGGATATATTGATCTTGGACTCTACAAGGAGGTAATAATGAAATAGCGTGAAAAGCATACTTTACTGTGAAACCTTGTTACTCAGTGCCTGTAACATAAAACAGGCAGATTTGAGTATAAACCTAGTTTATGAACTTCAGAACAACTTGTATTTCTAGCCATTTTATGGACTGTCATTTTCATTATTCACTTTACCTAATACAAATTTTTTCTAGTAAAAGTTATTTTTAGTGAGATCATCAAAATTAATTGTGTAAAATGTTGAAAGTGCTTGTTTTCTATGGGTTCCATGTATGTATTTTTCTTCTCTTGCATTTTCATTATTGGTAAAAAACCATTTCCCACACGATCTTGCAACAGAATTGCATCTTATAGATAATTTCATTCTTGTCAGCCAGTAGTTGATCTGTATGTTTGTTTATAATGGTGAACACTAAGTAAAGAGACATGTAATGATTTTCTTAAATTGGTATAAATAGTCATTGACACACTGGAGTCCTTATTTCTTCTGGGCCAAATTGACATCATGGAAATAAATGATGTATTAATTAGGAGCAATGTAAGTGGTCCAGATATCAATGAGTATTTAATAAATGAAAAACATGCATATTTCAGTGATTTAATTAATGACCAATACTTTAGTGTGCTCTCTCTGTCATAGACTATACCATGCATTTTACATAAATTATTTCTTTAGACTTGCAGAAACTTAATGAAATTAGTGCCATCATAATTCCCAATTTATAGGTTAGCGAAAATTGAATCTCAACAGAAAAAAATGAGATGCCTAAGATCACAGCAGAGGAGAGATCACAGAGGCCTAGCAATGAATTGACCCCCATAAGCCTGTCACTGGAGCAAACATGCCCAACTGAGCTTTAGAATAGTGTGTGCTCTAAATTGTTTCTTTGTCTGCTCTGTCATCCTCATGTTTATGTAAATACTCTTGTGAGTAACCACATGTATTTGCAGTATAAATGGCTGTGTGTTTGAAAGTGAAGTCTGGGCTTATGGAAAAGGTTTCTTTACTTTGACTTAACTGATTCATGCAGAGATCAAACCCACAACTGTGGCTGGGTATATTTTCCTCTCTAACCAACTTGTCTAACCAGTCCAGACTCAACTGTTTGAAAATACAGTGACCCTGATGGTTAAATCTCGGAACCACTAGGAGACTTGGCAACTTGAATCCATCATTCTTTGTCGCTGGTGTAATGGTCTCCTAACTTGCTTTGATGAAGAGTAATATATAACAGTAGCTTGTAGCATAGGGTGTAATTATGCAAGATGGCCCACAGCTTGGGTGTGTTTTGAGGCCTAAGGCTAAAGGCCAAACTCACAACCTGCTGAGGGAAGCAAATAGTATTCTGTAGCTCCTTGAAAGTCACAAGTGCTGAAAGGGAATTTAGATGGAACTAATTGCTTAGCTTGGGACTGTCAAGAAGCCCCAGGGCAGTCAAATTTACAAGTTCTGTGAGTAAAAGAATTATGAGTGAATGGGAATATTGAGACTTATGAGTTTTCAACTGGTCAGGGGTACAGTGATTATAAGGCAACCTTGCTTGATGATTGTTAACTCTTTTTATGAATCATTAGTTCCAAGAAATCATTGTATTTCTAGAGGGAATTTAGAAGGTCCTTCCATTTTCAAATAAATGAGGTTGCTCCTACGCTGCCTGGGAACAGGGAACAGCAAAATATAAACGGGGTGGACTAGGCACACTGCTGTGAATAGTGCTTAAAGTGGCTGCAGCAATGGAAAGAGAGGAGGAGGCTAAGATGACTGTCAGCTTTCTGACTTGGCAGTGAGTTGGAAAGTGATGCTATTTATTGAGGTGAGAGTAGTAAAAGATGGTGGGAAAAATGGTGAGACAGCTGTGTACATTCTGCTTTTGAGACATGTTCAGTAGGTCTTGCAAGGTAGGTAATGTGATTTGGAATTCAGGAGAGAAGTAGGGACAGATATCAATAACTTGCAGCCAGAGTTTGAAATCTTGCTTCTGTTTTTATCAATGCCTTGGCCTTATGCACACTGCAGGAACGTTCTAAGCTTCTGTTACTCAGTAAAATTATGATGACGATAGCAGTAACTATCAGAGTTATTCTGCAGATAAAGTGAGATGTTGACTGTATAGGCTTTGACATCACACTTCCTTCCACTCAGTACTCACCAGTTGCTAGGTAACAAGAACACAGAAAAGTAGATGCATGAATTTCAAGTGTGTAGATATACTTTATATAAAATTTTATGTACGTCCATGCCGCAATACTGCAAATGCCAGATGGCTGTTTAATAGCTTGGTTGGAAGTAGATTCTTTCCTCTGTGATCTCTCCTCTGCTGTTGCCAATCTCATCTTGAAATGGGAATGATAGTGACAATAGTTGTGATGATTAAATATTTTCTTACTATTTGTCTTCTTTACATATCTCTTATGTGACAATCTTTTAGAGTGTGCAGCTCAGGTACTTTTTGCCTAGTTAAGCTTAAGGAATTCCACGGGGAAAACCTCATAATATCATAAAATACTAGTATCAAAACAGTACTGTAGGGAACCAGCAGTTAGCGTAATGGCTATGTCGCTGGACTCCCACGTAGTTGACCGTGGTTCGCGTCCCAGACCCGGTGGCTTAAAACTCACGCCGGGCACGTGTGCGTGCATGCCCAAGAGCTGAATGGAGGAGAAGGGATTGTGGCGTGACCATCCCCCCCCGGGGGTGATTTCTCACTTTCTGTCTCTATGTCTCTCTCTGTCTGTCTGGCAAGTGCACGTGCCCTATAGCGAAAACCTCTCAAAAAAAACCCAAAAAAACAAAAAACCAGTACTGTAGTCAGTTTATCACGGGAAGCAAACTGTGTCTTTTTTTTTTTTTTTTTTATCATTTCTCTGTAATTGTCCTTGAATGGTTCGAGAAGACTTACTTTTTTTGCTATCTCCTTTCTTGGAGATTATAAAGGAGACCTTGTCTTCAGCTCCCAGTTCTTACTGGACCTTTTTTTTTTTTTTTTTTTTTTTTAATCCCTAGGCTAGGTTTCACAACTTTTCATAAGCTGACCTGTTCAAACTAAATACACTTGGACTTCATCATATAACATGGTCACAGTGGGTCTATAAATGGATTTCAGCACATTTTTAAATCCATGAGTTTAAAAGTCTGAGACTAGATTTGTTAAGAGCACAAACTGGCTAGTCTCTGCTCAGTGACACTGAACAAGGTATGCAGCCCCTTCAGTCCTTAACACACTTGTAAAGGCGAAGGTGGAATGATTTAAAGTAACTCCATCATTAGGCTTATGGTGAGAACTCAATCTGACAATGTGTGTAAATTTCCTGGCTTGTGGTTAATAGCTATTAACTTTTAGGTTCCATTATTGCCATATTAAAGGGTTCTTACAATTATGGGATACAATTGTCAATCAGGCTCTTTAAATTGCTTGAACTACTTTTTAATGAGGCAGTAGTTACTATTGGTCTTGTTCAAAAGAAAAGAAAAATATCTGAAATGACAACATAATACAACGAATAATCCAATTTCCTCCATCCCTTCTGCTTCATTGCTTGCTTTCTATTTAAGTAGCACTGAATGGCCCTTTCATATTACATGTGTGCTCTGATATAACTTTGTAGATACTCCAGCAAGACACCATGTGCCCAAAATGCTGACTTTCTCCAGTGCCTATAGTGTGAGTCATTGGCCTTTGCTGGATGGTAGTGCTGTCATTATTATGAAACATTCAAGCTCAAGGGGCCATATTCATTATACATTCATGTTTTTCTTGGAAAGTTCAATTTAAGATGTTATTTTTTTCCCTGAATATTAAGTCTGCCAATGTCATTCTGTCTGTGACCGCTATTATAAAAATAGATGCTTCAGCCAAAATAACTGTAGCTTTAATGAGTACGGTGTTTTTATAATAGTGAAAATACTACAACAGGATTTTTTTCCCCACATGTATCAACAGCTCAGAAAATGAACTGTCTGCCTTAGAGTACGTTTATTCGCTAAAATTAAAAAACACAAGAAGGCATAAGTAATTTGGTATAGTTACAGAGTTACTATTAGAGATCAAAATCATTATCCTGAAATCATAATTATTATAGAAAATTTATTTCTTAAGAGGAGAAGTTGATTTTCTTAGGCTTGACATATTAGTCATTCAACTTAAGACGTGTGTGTGCTTGGTGGTGATTTTAATTGACTAAATTAATTGATGAGTCTATTACTACTTCTAATTGAAAAAGTAACTCAATATTATTATGACTACTTTGGGTAAAAGGAAACTAAAACACAGGTATCTTGCCAAATATAACATTTTCTAAAAGTTAATTAACACAGCATGATGCACATGCTATGTGCTTAATTACTTGTTACTAAATTAATGAGTGGAAATGTATTTCATATCTCCTATTTTCTAGCTGATGGCATTATTTTAAAAAAATCTTACTTGTATTAATATGTTTCCCATCCCAGGAAATTTCATTCAAACTAGACACGCATAACTTGGAGTCTGGCAGACTGAAATGTCCTTTTGATCCTCAGCAGCCATTTGCTTCAGTAATGACAGGTAAGAGCAATGACAGACACTTCTTATTTTTAAATGATTTTCTGAAAAGGTATGTTTACACCAAAACACATTTTCTGGTTGAACTGAACATAATTTTGGATTACTCTTTCACCAGTTACTTGGTTCCAGTATTTTAGTGCCAAATCTTTCAGTACCTAGTATCTTTATCAAAAAACTGAGGATATAGCACTTCTTAAAGTCTATAGTTACTTTTGAATGAACTTCAGGATTTATTCTTCTAATGCAAATGACATATACCTACTACTTGTTTTATAATTTTACTCCTAGATCTACTGGTTTTAATTTCACTGGGCTACACTCTCATTTGACTTAGTATGGGTGTTAAGTTTAACAAATTAATAAACCAAATGGGTAAACTATAGTCTATAAACTATAGGCTATAATAAAATGATATAATACCTTTTCTTCCAATATCACTATAACTGGATTATATTAACGGAAATACTGTGAGATTTTTCCTAACACATTGAATTTTACCTTGCTTTGTCTGTATCTTAAATTTCCTTATGAGGTGACTGTCCTGTTAAAAGAATGCAGGGCCTTGTGAGCTGAAGTCTGTTCTGAGGAATGTCGGCAAGACCTCTGAATTTCAACCATAATAAGAACTGCTTTTGTCTTGGTTTGGTTCATGACTTCAGTCTTTTTATTTAACTTGTCTATCAAATGTTTGAACAGATGATAAGAGTGAAGCACCAGGACATTTTAATTTTCACTCAGTAAGAGCTAGCTATCCTCCTTTGAAGTGAAAGTGAGTGTGTTTGTGTGTGTTTTTAAAATTATATGACGAATGTGCAGTTGTTAGTATAAGAAAATGAGATAGATGATTTGGGATCCTGATCTGTCAAGTGAGATTGACACACCCTTAATAAAACCAGCACGTTGTTAGCCATTGGTGACCTCTCTTAGGAATCTTTAAATAATTTAAATATATAAAACTTAAAAACCTGAATATTTAGATCCAATTTTTATGTTGAAACACAATACATTTTCCTGATAAGACACTGAAATATGTGTAGTTTCATGTTTTGAAGTGATGATTTGCTTCCTTTATTTTTACCTTGGTTTTACATAATGTCTTTGTTATAATCATTGTTTAGTACTTCTAATTAAAAAAAAAATTCTACGGTAAAATATGGGTATTTACCTGATATATTTTAGGAAAGTACCATAAGACCACGATAGTACCTTATCGACATCTACTTCACAAAGGTGGATTTCTCTCTTTTGTGTTTCGTTTTGTTTTGTTTTTATTTTAGCAGTTAGCTATTGTCATTTTTTAGGTTGAATTGCCCCAAATAGTTCAGTGAAAGGTTTATTTTCATGGGTATAATCAGATTTCTTAATCACATCATCACTTCTAGTATAAGGCAATATTTTAACAATATGTTTTGGAGGAAGACTGAATTTCAGTCATAAAGCAGTGTCTTTGTCCTCATATTTAAGCATCTAAAATCTAAATGGTATGTAGAGATTGACCATTTTTTACTTCATTCTATTAAGTGTATTACAGTTGACTAGAAAAGTCTCTTGAGATGGAAGAGGCTTAGCTCTCAAAGAGGCAGCATATTCTACTTCAGGGACTGTCCTCTTCCTGCCTTCCTTCTGGCTCCCACCTAGTGCTCTGACTAGGGCTAAGGAACATGGACCGCCTCCCCCTCTTCTTTCTTTTTCTTATCCATTCCCCCCTTCTCTCTTCTTTCTAGTATCATCTCTCTCTCTCCTTCTCTTCACCTTCCTCATCATCTCCCTCTTCTTTCTGCTTCCCTTTTCCCCTCCTCCATTATCCTTTCCTTTCTCCTCCCTCCCTCCTCTGCCTTCTTTCTCTCTTTCTCTCTGATAAAACATGAACATGCACTTAAGTAACAGGACAAAGAAGTTTGGTATGCAGTAATGGCAACATCTTCCCTTTTCAAGAATTCGAGTTTATCAGAACTATTAGAGACATGATTAGCTACAAGGAATGCAGCATGTTATAATTACAAAGAATGACTTCAGTGCTGAAAGCTCCCTTTCAGCAGGGGTTAGGCAAAGAAAAGTTGTGGTCATTAAGGTTGTGTCGGTTAAGTAAATACAAATTACACAATCCATTCCTCATTATGGCATTTAATTTTTAATATTTTGTGTGTGTCATTACAAAGAGAAACTCCTCGTTGTGATATTTCTTTGAATTATTTGTGGGAAGAAGAAAAAGAAAAAGACCTTATCTAAAGGAAAACGAACACACACAAAACTGTAAGTTCAGAAGAATTAGGGCTTTTTTATATTGGAGTACCTAGTACCAGCTTCCTAAAGGTAATGGAGTTACTTTTTCTTTAATTAAAATAACTTCTCAAAATTTGAAAGTGAAATTTACATATTCTAGTGTTAAGCTGTAAACATTTTCGGTGTGATGCTGTGAAAGTTGTGTATTCAAATAATAACAACTGTTATAACTCTTAGAAGTTGTATGTACTTTTTCTCCCCACCCCCCAGATGAGTATCTCTACTCTGGAACAGCTTCTGATTTCCTTGGCAAGGATACTGCATTCACACGGTCCCTCGGGCCTTCTCAGGACCACCATTACATCAGAACTGATATTTCAGAACATTACTGGCTCAATGGTTAGTGGTTTTATTCATTTTTGATTGTTTTGCTTTTGCTTTAAGATAGATAAGAAGCTTATTATTATTTATTTAAATGTGTTTAGCAAGACACCCAGTGGTATGCATGGTGGTTGGGGCAACTGGGTCCCACAATAACTGTGTGGTTCAAATCCCAGACCCAGCAGCTTGACGGTCATGCTAGGCGTGTGTGTGAGTGCCCAAAATCCCAAGAGAAGAATGGAGGAGAAGGGATTGCATCATGGCCATCCTCTCTGGGATTATTTCTTTCTCCCCCTCTCTCTCTCATGTGTACGTGTGGCCTATAGTAAAAACAAACAAACAAAAAATAAAATAAATGTGTTTTGGGATCATAGATTTGTCTCAACAATATAAAATACACTTAAAAATAATCCTACATCAAGTTAAATCTCAAGAACTGTTTGTTTTATGTATGTAGTTATAGATGGTATTTATTGAGTTTGTACTATTTCCTTCACACTATTCTGTACTCTAATTGATATACATGTATACATTTTTTTCGGAGAGTTTTTTTTTTTTTTTTTTTTTGCTATAGGGCGTGTGTGCTTGCAAGAAATGAAGAGACAGAGAAATAGAAATGAGAAATGACCCTCGGGGGGGAGGGGTGGTGATCACGCCGCAATTCCTTCTCCTCCTCTTGGAATCTTGGGCATGCAGGCACATGTGCCCTCCGTGAATTTAAGCCACCAGGTCCGGGACTCGAACCGTGTTTGACTACATGGGAGTTCAGCGACATAGCCATTATGCTAACTGCTGGTTCCATGTATACATTCTTTTAAAAAATTGCCAGACGATGTATGTGCTCATTGGAGAGAGAGAGAAACAGACAAGAGAGACCATTCTCATGTTACAATTCCTTCTCTTCTTGTTTCTTCCCCATTTCAAAATTTTGGGCAGGCATCCACACATGCCAAACATGTCTCTCAAGCTGCTGGATCCCAGACTCAAACTGTTCAGTTGGCCATGTGGAATCCAGATGCCTTAATCATGATGGTAAAGGCTGACTCAATTGATATTTTAATATCATTATATTATATGAAATGTATAATTATTGCATCATTTTTAAAGATAAGCAAACTGAAATAGAGATAAATTAAGTACTTTGTTCAAGGTCATACAATTTGTCTGTTGCAGAGCTGAGATTCAACCTGGTAATCTTACTCCTGTAGTCTGGGTTTTAAAGACTAAGCCATATATTGTCTTTTAGTTCAATGGGAAAGGATTAGACTATAATACTAACTTCTGCTGCTTAAAGGTAATTTGTTTGGGATAAACTACATCCTTCCAAAATTTTAAGCAAATTGATATTGATGTAGGTTTAGTCTGATTATTTTTTTATTTAAGAGGCTTACAATGTAACTAAGACAAGGAATAATACCAAGGCTTTTCCTGCCACTGCCTTAAAACTACCAATTTCTTCATGATTTTATAATGTGTTCAAATTAACATAGAATTTATTCCAGGGCAGGATAGTGACATAGCCCTGTTTTTTAAGCAGGCAGACATCACTTCTCACTGCTACCATAAATATTGGGTTTTAGTGGAGAAAGGTTAGAGATTTCCTAGGGGCTATCCTTCTTTCTTTCAGTGTCATTTAAGCAGTGACAACATAAACAAAAGGGAAAACACTTTTTAAACATTTGCTTAGTCAAAATCTCCAGATCTATTTGTTTACACTATACTGTGGATCTCCATTGACCAAAAGAGTACCCTATTAATAGAGAAAACAAAATTCAGAATATCTCTAAGTTTGTAATTACTCAAAAATTTCTTAAGAAATGCATAAGGAAAGAATATCTTTTTCTGCTTTATAAGATTGTTGTGGAATATTTGGTTTGAGAATAACTCCATAGATACTCAGATATCTTAGGTAATAAGATATTTTTGTGGATTTTTCATAAATTATAAGGTATATCTCTCTGTGTTGGGATGATAAATATTATCACATGGCTACTTATTGAAGATATTCTATTCTTTTCTTTAACCATGATTTATCAATAAGGAAGTCTGGAACATTGTTAAAACAATAAATGTAGGAAATATGTATTCAACTATTATTTGTCTAGGGTGTTATTGTTAGTTATAGTTGTGTGAAGAAACTGACAAAGTAGGAAGTCCTTTAATTGGTTTAATATTCCCTTAATAAATAAATTTTGAAGCTCTATTGCTTACAGAGTGTCATTCTATGCATGGGGCCAGCACAGAGAGATGGGACCAGTCTCTGACCTTTGGGATGATGAATGCCTTGTTCAGCCTGGAGCCTAAGGAGTGGGAGATGAGATTGCAGAGCTGTAGATATTATCCTGAAGCCAGCAGAGAGCTAATGTTGGTTTACATTTTATTTATTTTTAAAAAGGTAAATGAAAATTACATGAAGGGATGAGTAGACGAGAAACAGAGAATGAAAAGGCCATTGCGTGAAAAAAAGAGAATGAAGAAGGTACAGGAACAAAGGTAGTGACAGTGGGGATGAACATGAGAATATATAGCAAAGAACATCTGAGAGAGATGGTAGCTGTTTGTGAACAGAAGAACTCAAGGACACGAGACAGGGATCAAGATTTTAGATTGTACGAAAACTTTGCAATTGAAGAAGCAGCCAGTAGAAAGAAATAAAATGAAGATAGGATAAGAAAACTTGATGGACTGAATTTAGGCAAATGATTAAGAATCAGGAGAACTGGGACCAGCAGTTGGCATAATGGCTATGTTGCTGGACTCCCATGTAGTCGACTCCAATTTGAGTCCTGGACACAGTGAATTAAATTTACGCCAGCGTGTGTGCATGAGTGTGTAAGATCCTGAGAAGAGAATGCAATAGAAAGGATTGTGGCATGGCTATCCCCCCTGGGGGGTGATTTCTTGCTTTCTGTCTCTCTGTCTTTCTGGCGAGCGCATGAGCCCTATAGCAAAAACTCTCAAAAAAAATAATAATAATCAAGAGAACTAACTAACTAACATTTATGTTTCCATTCCAGGTCATACAGAGAGATTGCTTAGTGGTTAAGTGTCAGGGTGATCATATGATTGGTTTATTCAGGACATTTGTAGCTGACTTCCATTGTCCTTTCACTCTCAAATGCGTCCTAGTTTAGACAATAATTACAGATCTTTTTCTGTAGAACTTAATTGGGCTTAAATGCTGAATATAATTTATTTGTGACTTGGATCAAACTTTTCCATGCATACAAATTTTTTGCCTAAAAATATGGCATAATGATAACATCTGCTCACAGAGTATCATAAGAATTAAATTAGGTCATACAGAGAAATTTGTTAAAAGATAATTTTTGTGAACTGAATTAGTGTCATTGATATTATCATTATTACCACTATTGCTGAATGTGAAAGAGATAGGAAATGGGACTGAAATTCTCTAACATCTGTGATTCTCTAACATCTCTTTAATATTTTCAACTATTTCTTTCTTTTTTTCTTACTCACCATTTAGTACATAGACATGCACTAAAGAGAGAGGAGGAAGGTTCTTCATAGGACCCTGAACCTGTTCATCCCATCCTCCAGCTTGTCAGATTATGAGCACTTGTGCACATGGCAGGCATATTTCAAGCTGAATGGTTTGGGGATTTGAGTCTTGGTTGCCTTATGGAATCCTGCTTCTCTGGAGCAGCACATTACTTATTCTCTGCAAAACACAGACAATCCCATTTGAAACTACTGCCCATCTTACCTCTCCCTTCTTTTTTCTTTTTTTTTTTTTTGGAGAGATTTTTGCTATAGGGCGCGTGTGCTCTCCAGACAGACAGAGAGAGACATAGAGACAGAAAGCGAGAAATCACCCCCCAGGGGGGATGGTCACGCTGCAATCCCTTCTCCTCCATTCTCCTCTCGGGATCTTGGGCACGCACGCACATGCGCCCGGCGTGAGTTTTAAGCCACAGGGTCCAGGACACGAACCACGATCGACTACGTGGGAGTCCAGCGACATAGCCATTACGCTAACTGCTGGTTCCCTCACTTCTTTCTTTCTGTACTTCATAATTCTGGGAGCTCATGGGACCAGCAGTTAGCGTGACGGCTATGTCGCTGGAATCCTATGTAGTCAACCGCGGTTTGAGTCCTGGACTCAGTGGCTTAAACTCACACGAGGCACTTGTGTGTGTGTGCCCAAGATCCAGAGAGGAGAACAGGGGAGAAGAGATTGTGGTGTGGCCATCCTCCCTGCGGGTAATTTCTTGCTTTCTTTCTCTCTGTCTCTCTTTCTGGAGAGCACATGTGCCCTATTGCAAAAACCTCTCAAAAAAAAAAAAAAGAAAGAATTCTGTGAGCTCATGCATTTTACTAGTTTCAGCTATTCTTGTGTTCCAATATTTCCTAAAATTGTATTTCCAACCTTTTTTATATGCTCAATATTTTCCTAAGTGTTCTTAAATTTATTTGGATACTTTACATTATCATTTCAGATTAAAGGAAAAATAATGGTTGCTGCATATAGGACCAAAGATACCTTTTTAATGGAGAGGATTTTTGCTGCAGGCACGCACATGAGCTCACCAGAAAGACACAGAGGGACAGAGAGATAGAAAGTGAGAAATTACCCCCAGAGGGGATGGCCACACTGCAATCCCTTCTCCTCCATTCTCCTCTCAGGATCTTGGGCACGCACGCACACATGCTCGTCAAAAAAAAAAAGGTCCAGGACTCTAACTGTGGGGGACTACATGGGAGTCCAGCAACATAGCCATTACACCAACTGCTGATCCCAGGATCAAAGATATCTAGGCCTTGGTCTAGAGTGTACTAATTTGCTTTGAGTTTTGTTTTTGTTTTTTGTGGTTTTTTTGTTTTTTTTTTTTTTTACAAATTATTTAGTAATCCTTTGGTGAGGTTCTTTATATATACTTGAATGAATAATTGGACCTAAAATCTAAAGTTCTGTGAATCTAAACTTAAAAATAAATTACTTTTTTCCCTTTTTAACTTACTTTTCAATATCAGTTTCCTGATTCTTACTCATT